ATGAAGAAGGATTGGACATACACGCTGAGAAGACCACTGAGTGACATCATACACCAAGCCAACAAATGGTAACTGGATGGGAAACTAACAGCTGGGCATGCATCTGAAGGTAAAATGGAGGAGATCATATGAGGAGAATGTGAAGCCTTATAGGCAGTCGTGAAGTCAACTAAAAAAAGGACCATGGAAGACAAAATATATAGTGGGGTTGTGTTGCTGACACCCTATGTTGCACTCTGAACGCAAGGAGAAGTTATCGAAAAGAATATTCTTTCTCCATTAATTGGTCTTTTCAAACCTAGACCTCATTACTAGCAATGCTATTTTTCATGCGTCGACTTTCTTTGCTTCAATCTCCGTCCAGCAACATCAGTGAAATACAAAAATTAGTGTTATATTTTAAGTAGAAATGCATCAGCTTAAATCACGACATTTCGTGATATGACATCAAAAAAGGAGGCAGACAAAAAACCACGCGCACGCTCTCCAAATGCATCTCTAAACATCCCCCAGCACCGTTGTCAAGAGAACAATACAAGAAAACTAGGAGCTCAATTCTTGAGCACTTAGTGAATTCAAGCCCTGCAGTTCCACCCAAATCATCTTTTAAAGTTTTAGTCGCATAGTCAGATTGAATGAAACAAGGAGTTTTAGTTTTCAGCAATTGTATAGACGCTAGTCATTCGTTGATGAAACTCAGAGTTCTGTGTGCAGAAAAGGTTTGTTCAGTCTTTTTTGTTCCACCATGGTCTTAAACTCGTTTTCTATTATTAGTAGGTCATTCACTATTGTCACTATTACTCTCCTCCTTTTGTATATTTCATTGTGAGTTGGTGAAACAGCGGTAGAATGTTCACCAGCTAAGCAGGTGGTCCAGGGTTCGATCCCCGGCTGACTCGCTAAGCCAGTAATAAGACTGGTAAAGAGAGAAGGTTGGGAGTGAGGCTAGTAACCCCATCTCGTAAAAATAAACAGCACTGCTAACGAAACTTCATAGCTTTAGCTTGAAACTTGAACGTAAAGGAGTAAAATAATAGTAATAATAATAAATAATAGTAATTTTTTACATTTCATTAGGTTTTATGCTCACCTTCTTCACACTCTTGTCAAGTGGACACTCAACCACCTTGCTTCTCATCAAATAAGAATTCTCACCTCATCAAATTTTAAACATTTATTTCTATTGTATTATTATCGTTATTGTTCCCTTGGGTTCCTAGTGGAACATAAGGCTTCAACTGCACGTCTCCACTTGCTTCTGTCTTCTGCTGTACTTTTCACCTCCATCCATGTTAGTCCATACTGTTTCAACTCCTCTTCACGCGATCTCCTCCATGTCACCCTTGCACTGACGTCCCACTCGCCGCTTCCCTTTCGGGTTCCACTCGAGTTATGGCCTGACGCGCGATGTCACCCAGCGACCTCCTCAGCTCAGCGAGTGTCCAATCCATCTCCACTTTCTCCTGCATATTTGTTGAGCGATTGGTTCCTGTTTTGTTTCTTCCCATAGTTTCTTGTTGGTGATTCTTTATTACCGGCCATCTGATCTTCAGTAAAGAACGAAGACAGCCGTTGATAAAGGTCTGCAACAGGCTGTTGGAAATATTCTTTGTGACACACTGGCCAAGTTTCTGATCCGTATAGAAGAAGTGACTGACTTGACGTCGTTTGTATTGAAAATCCGAATTTTGTTGTTGATGCTGAGTTGAGTGACGAAGATTTCCAGATTGGTTTCAGGTTGATGAATGTGTTTCTCGCCTTCCCGATTCTCGATTTGACATCCTCGTCCATTCCTCCTGTAGTTGAGACAATGCTCCCTAGATAAGTGAATGAAGTAACCTCTTTCAAATCCCTCCCGTTGATGGTGATTGGCGCTGGATGTTGCTGCTGCTGCTGTTGTTGTTGTTGTTGGTTGGTTGGTTATTTTCATAACCTCCGTCTTGTCTATGTTCACCTGCAGTCCTGTCTTTGCTACCAGCCTCTTCGACCAGTTTGTCGGTTTTCGCTTGTAAGTCTTCGATTTTGTGTGACATCAAACATAAATCAACCACGCGCGAAATCCAGGTCATCTAGATTCTTCACGTCGGTCCAGGATATCCCTGTCTTCTCGTTTCCCACTGTCTGACGCATAATCCAGTCCACCACAATTAGGAATATCATTGGTGATAATAAGCACCCTTGTATGCTTGACCACTAATGATTGAGTGATTGCATCAGTCGTGTCACCCCCTATTACTCAATAATGGACTTCTATATATTTTTGAATAATATAAATACGGTTATATGACCTTTGAAGATGATTTAATCGATAAAAACAAATTTTCTTCTCTGAAATGCCTTTTTATATTTTTCAAAATATAATAATTTTGATGTGGTTGTGTTCTCTGAGCTAGATAGTTAATTTGCGAAGCTTTCATCGCCCCCCTACTAGGCAACATCTTCAGCGCATACTTCAATTTGAAGTGATCTTTCAGATTTCTGCATGAGTTTATTAGCCATCTCTCCGAGTGACCTTGAAGGTGAATGGATGTGAAAGCTTCGCAAATTAACTATCCACCTGAGAGAACACAACCACATCGAAACCATTCACATGAGCTACAAATCTCCTCCATCATATCAAAATATAATAATGTTTTGAATCGAATACACACACACACACGAACGGACATTTAAAAAAATTAGGTTTACAGAGAAATTCCCTGCTTTAACTTACTTCTTATATTACGACATAAAACATTATTTAGTGCCGGATCAATGTATTCTTCAACACCTTCAATTAAACAGCCTACACCAAATTTTATAGCATTTTCAACATTTCTCAAGAAATTTGGATCATTCTGAGTTGTTACCTATTAAAATGTACACGGTGAAAACATATTTTATCTTTTTAAAAATACATATATCTATTTGCAGAGTGAAATTTAAATGTTTAGCTAAACGTTTTCAAGAAACGTTGATGTCTTATCAAATAGTCTTGCTGTAGATCAGACATTCTTTCCATTTTTAAAGAGTAGATATTTGTGAGATATTTTTTAATGCCTCACGTTCCCCCAGTGGAACATAGGGCTTCAAGCTACAGGCTTGAAGTTTCTGTAGCAGTGGTGATTATTTTTATCATGCCCAACCTTTCCTATTTACCAGTCTTACTACTGGCTTACATAGGTAAAGGAGTGCGTCTGTGGCCGGGGATCGAACCCCGGACCATGTGTATGGCCGACAAGCGTCCTAACCACTGTGCCACCAACGCACAATATTTATGAGATACTCAGCGACAAATTAAGAAAATACTTTATAATTCGAATAAGAGGATCAAAGGTTACTTTGATGAAATGAATAGTCATTATAAATTCAAACGAATTGGGTAGGAGGAGGAAGAAAATGTTTAATTCAGCTTGTGGGGATACTTTCCAGTTCAGTTTTTACTTATTTCATTCCTTTGCGTTACGGGTGGAACATATGGCTCCAGTTTTTTTAAAGTTTCAATAGCGGTGTTATTTTTACAGGATACAGTTGCTAGTTATTAGATAATTGGAGGCAATCGGCCACAGGAAGCCTTGAACCTAGCTTTCGCTCTTGTTGATATACATCAGTCAGCAAGGCGTATCTGCAATTTTGAAGGAACTCATGTCCCTTGTGAGATCCTGAGTGTACCGTGATGGTGAGCTACCTAGCCTGATGGCCACATTGCAAACTTGACTGATAGAATTCAGTCTGCATTAAACAAAGGACTAAACATATGACACTAATTAGTGTCATAAAGCATCCAGTTCCACAGGAGGTCAATCGCGATCCTGGATAGCTCAGTGATAACGTCTCTGACTGCAGCACTCACTGGGTGACGCAGGTTCGAATCCCAGAAGGACGGACATGAGTTCCCTCAAGATTGCAGATATGCCTTGCTGACTGGTGAGTGTCAACTATCACGAAACCTAGGTTCAAGTCATCCTGTGGTCGATTACCTCCAACCATCTAATACCAACAATTAACAATGCACCTTGATGGCGAGTCACCTAGCATCGTGGCCACATTGAAAACTTGACTGATAGATACCACATGATACTAGTTAGTCTCCAATCAGAAGTAAAGTTGCTAGTCTCACACCCAGCTTTCCTTCTTTTTTGGGCTTTCTAGCGACTAGTAAGCTAAGAGAAGTTTAAAACCACGTCGGCCGGCAATCAAACCCTGACTTTCCGCGTGGTTGGCATGCATTCTACCATTGAATTGCCAACCGATTATATTTTCATTTAATTATTCGATTCTACAGTCTGAAATATTCCCTTTTCATGCGTTAAAAAAAGTCCATCTGAACAAACAAATATTGAAAGAACAGACACGGAACAAAGAGTACCCTTTTCGATAAATTCACCATCAGGTTCTACAATTATATATACATTATAATGAATGAATGAATTAGTCTTATGATCGACATTAATGTTTAAATAACATCAAATCAATAATATTGATAAATTACAGCTGAACAGCATCAACATAAAATAAACTGAATGTCAGAAGAATTAGGAAAGGTAATAGTACAAATTCATGAGTTTATAGTCTCTACTGAGGGCCAGGGCAGTAGTAGGGGTTGGACTTGTTTCTTTTGGACACAGAGCGCTGGTTGTTTGAGGCGAATCGCAATAGCCTCTGCTGTTTGGAGCAAGCGGTGCTTCGACGGTTTTGGTAGTTTGTTAGGCACCCGGTATATTATAGAGAAGGATTCTTCTACCCTGGCTTTGTGACCAATTTGCACCAGATGGTCTAATGTCGAGCTGTTAATAGTTTCAACTACACCTTTACGAAATGCATATTGTAATCGTATAAACCTAAAGAGAATACGGTTTAAAACCACAGAAAACTAAATACTGGAATTTTACTTTTATTTTATTTTTTATCTCTAATACTGACTTAGAAATGAAAATATCAATAACAACCAGTTTAAGAGGAGAACACGTTTATATACATAAAACTTTCGTTCCAATCAACAAATTCACTGCATAACTTACTCGTAATGAACGAGCTTCATCTTTAGTATTACGTTCCATTCTTTTAATCCATCTCGCTGCTTGACCTTGTGGATCAATACAAACTGGTGAAGTAGGTCCTTTTGTAGTCAGAATTGCATTTTGTGTACTTAATTCATCTGTTGGCAGACTTTGTGAATTCCATAAGGAGATTTCAACTTCTGTCGCTAAGATTTGTTCAACTCGTATACTGTCTGTTGTAGGTATCTATTTTATAATATGCCCATAAAAGTAAATATTAAGCGATAATTCATTGTCAAGTGGAAAAAAATCTCTAACCTGTAGCAAGTCACTAGCGAGCATCAGATTAATTTTCTATAGTTTGGTTTGTAAGGATTAGTTATGTTTTACGAGGACTGATATCAGTTAGAGAACCATTGAAAACCAGGGAGTACTGGACAGCTGCTGTTTCATCCTAGTTTGGGAATCACCGGCAGTACGCACCCACTGGAATTCGAATCCAGGACCTTCCAGTTACAAGGCAAGCTCGTATACCATTCAGCCACTGGGACCCGATTCAATAGCTCATGAATTCTAACTTCTACCAATTCGTGATTTAGCGCGACCCCAACCATTGTCGTTGGTGGGATATCCATCCACACATGTGACATCTAATTGGTTACAGGATTTCATCATGAACTGACATTGGTTAGAGAACCATTGGAAGTTAGAATTCATGGGCCATTGAATCGGGTCCCAGTGGCTGAATGGTATACGAGCTTGCCTTGTAACTGGAAGGTCCTGGATTCGAATTCCAGTGGGTGCGTACTGCCGATGATTCCCAAACTCCCTGGTTTTCAATGGTTCTCTAACTGATCTCATTCCGTGATCAACTCGTAAGCGATAATTCATTGTCAAGTGGAAAAGTCTTTAAGGAAGTCATATTCTTCGCTGACATGATCCAGGCAGTATCGTTTCAACTATAGGTAAGACAGATAAAGATGAAACAGTCGACCAGGGTTCAAAAAGCAAAACAGACCTTTATTATTCTGACGACAATGTGAAAATTTACCGAAATCCTACATGGAAAGGACAGCACCTACATTTTAATAGTTTTTTTCCAAATAGCTTTATATGAGCATAAGTCAAGACCCTATACTATAGAATAAGGAGATTATGTTTCTCGAAAAGATATTGAAGAGCAATGGTTATCCTCAAAGGTTCATTAAAAAGCATGGAAGATCTGAAGTCTCAAATGTTAAACAAATCACAGTGGAGAAAAAACCAATCTACATTCATCTTGATTATAAAGCTGAAAACATTGCAGCAATGAAAACAAAACACGTAGATCAGCGAAGAGTCTCTTTTCGGCGAATTCATCTTCTTAGCTGTACAATCACAAATATATATGCATTGTTTTGTATGTATGTGTACATTAAGTTTGTCAAACAAAGTTACAATTGGTTAAGGTTAATTTTAACTAAACAAGTGAAGGTTGGTAATACAGGTCAAGAAAACTAGGGTAGTAACAAAGGTGATGAGTTGTCAGAAACAGTTGTAATAATAATAGTGAGTTTTACTCAGGATGCACATAGAAACAAAGTAGAAATTGTGTAAGAGATCTAAGTGGATACAAGAATTACAATTGCTTAAGGTTATTTTAACTAAACAGGTAAAGGTTGGTAATATAAGTCAAGGCAATTAAGTGCTAGGATAGTAACAAAGGTGATGAGTTGTCACAAACAGTTGTTAAAAGAAGTTATGCAATAATAATATGAATATTTTGATGAGTGAGTTTTACTCAGGATGCACATAGAAACAAAGTAGATAATACGAAACTATGTAAGAGATCTAAGTGAATACAAGAATTATAAGCAACTAAGGAACAGGCAAAGAAACAAAGTTAAGTTATCAGAATAAAATAAAATAAAAATCAAAAATCAAAACATTGTTACCATGAGAGTAGAAGTGGTTGAGTAATCTTCTTTTGTATGCACAGCTCCGGTTTTTCCATGTGAATGGCTAGAGCTTCAGCGATACAGAGGAGACGAAACCGTATTGTCTTTGATAGGTTGTTCTTGACTCTGTAGATTACTTTGAAGGAGGCGTTCGTTGAAATGCAATGATCAGTGCTGACCAGGTGTTCAATTATCGCACTCCTTATTGCACCAGTATTGCCTTTTCACAACCATGCTGGATAGTGTTCTTGAATCCTCTTGGACGGGATGCGCGTCGAACGACCGATGTACCTGGCTCCACAGCAGCAGGTGAACTGGTATATGCACATAGAAGTGGCCAGATGCAGGATCTTGTCCTTGAGGCTTCTGCAGATTAGTGGGCGATTGGAGAACACTATTCTTAGCGTTGCTGCAAAGAATGTTCTTCTCAGAGATGATGTGATCCTTCTCTTGAGAATATCGCTTGCTAAATCTCCCTTGAAATCCAAGTTCATGTAGATTTTCTTTTTAGGCGCAGTCAAAGTTTCGTTTCTCTGAATTATTGGTTTCATATTTTTGTCGATAAATCTTATTGGGTAACCATTCTGGATGAATATTTCTCTCAGAATATCTAATTCTGTTTCCACAACGTCGGGACTACAGATGCGTCGGATGCGGGAAGCAAGTGATTTAATTAAATTCCGCTTTTGTTGAATGGGCACCCAGCTATAGAAGCTTGTTAGTTGACCATTCCACGTAGGTTTTCTATGGATTGATCTTCTTAGGCTCCCATCAGCTCTTCTTGTCAGTTCCACATCAAGAAACGGAATTTTTGACTCGTTTTCCATTTCAAGAGTGAATTTTATTGCTGGATGGCAATCGTTAAATGTCTTCAGCAGTAGATTGGGGTCGTTGTTGTTGTCACAAATAATGAAAATATCATCCACGTATCTTTTATACAGTTGCAAATTGTCGATACTTGACTTTAGTGAACCTCTCTCGAGGCTTGCCACGAAGCAGTCTGATAGTAGTGGACCCAACGGAGATCCCATTGCAATACCATCCTTTTGTCTGTAGATGGTGTCGTTGAATGTGAACTGGACGTTCAGAGTGCATCTCAATAATAATTCTTTCAAGTATGTTGTCGGTATTCCAATATCGAGGTGGTTGTCATCTATATATCTGCATATGAAGCAGACCGTTTCTGTGAGTGGGACATTGGTGAAGAGTGACTCGATGTCGAAGGATAGCATAATTTGGTTAGATACATTCGTGTCTTGTATGCACTCGATGAACTGGAAGGTGTCACGGAGTGAGTGCGTACATAATTGCTTCCTTACAGGTTCCAGAATATCTGCTAGCCATTGTGCAATAGAGTGGTAAGGGGAACCTGACATATCCAGAATTGGGCGAAGTGGGAGACCAACCTTGTGTACCTTTGGTAGACCATAAAGTCTTGGTATTACTGAACCTGTTGGCCGGATCTGGTCGTAAATATCCCCACTAATTAGTTGACTGGCCTTCATTCTCTTCAAGACGTCTGTGAGCTGCTTCTCAATCTGTTCCGTCTTGTTTCTTTCATTGGAAGCTTGGGAAAATTTGTCTTCATTCGACAGTATATCGTTCATTTTCTCGATGTAGTCTCTTCGATTCAGAAGCACTACACCAGCACCCTTGAAAAAAAAAAAAAAAAAAAAAAAAAAAAAAAATCTCAACTGTTTTAATCCCTCTCGGTGCCGCTTCGTCAGGTGGTTGCGGACTTTTGATTTTGTATTCAAGTATTGATGGCAGCAGTCCATTATTGTTGACTTGAATCTCTGTAATTCGTCTTCAGAAGTTGGGCTGAGATCGTGCGTTTGGCTGATTAGATTTTCAAACTGGACCTGAGTATGGAGTTTGTCGGCGTTGAAATTTATATCGCAGAATTTAGGGCCCAGAGATAGAACTTCCAGTTGCACGTCGGTTAAAGGTACTGAGGAATAATTGAACACAAACTTCGTGGGTTCGTCAGGAAATTTGCCTTGAGGTTTCATCTGCTTTAGGCTGTTGTTGAGCTGGGTTACAACGGACTGCGATCGTTTATTTGCAACCAAGTTGATATATTCATTGAATCTTTGACATTCGTCCGAAGTCAATTCGTATAAGGCAGAGGACCTCTGATTGATATTCCGCTGCAGTTCGGGCATACGTGATCTGATAGAATCAGCACAATTCATTGCATGGCGTTGAAGGGACTTCGTATTTTGATATATATGATTGCGTCGAAGTGCTTTCCAGAACCACTTTGGATACTGATGATTAGAGACACAATCCTCGAAAAAGGAAACTTTCGCTTTCCCCACAGCAAGCTTGACAGTGTACCGCAGAAACCCATTGAGTTACTTGACTGTCGAGGGGTCCTTGCTACGTTTCAATTCATGGATAATCCCCATCCAGGCATTAATGAAAACAAAACACGTAGATCAGCGAAGAGTCTCTTTTCGGCGAATTCATCTTCTTAGCTGTACAATCACAAATATATATGCATTGTTTTGTATGCATGTGTACATCAAGTTTGTCAAACAAAGTTACAATTGGTTAAGGTTAATTTTAACTAAACAAGTGAAGGTTGGTAATACAGGTCAAGAAAACTAGGGTAGTAACAAAGGTGATGAGTTGTCAGAAACAGTTGTAATAATAATAGTGAGTTTTACTCAGGATGCACATAGAAACAAAGTAGAAATTGTGTAAGAGATCTAAGTGGATACAAGAAATACAATTGCTTAAGGTTATTTTAACTAAACAGGTAAAGGTTGGTAATATAAGTCAAGGCAATTAAGTGCTAGGATAGTAACAAAGGTGATGAGTTGTCACAAACAGTTGTTAAAAGAAGTTATGCAATAATAATATGAATATTTTGATGAGTGAGTTTTACTCAGGATGCACATAGAAACAAAGTAGATAATACGAAACTATGTAAGAGATCTAAGTGAATACAAGAATTATAAGCAACTAAGGAACAGGCAAAGAAACAAAGTTAAGTTATCAGAATAAAATAAAATAAAAATCAAAAATCAAAACATTGTTACCATGAGAGTAGAAGTGGTTGAGTAATCTTCTTTTGTATGCACAGCTCCGGTTTTTCCATGTGAATGGCTAGAGCTTCAGCGATACAGAGGAGACGAAACCGTATTGTCTTTGATAGGTTGTTCTTGACTCTGTAGATTACTTTGAAGGAGGCGTTCGTTGAAATGCAATGATCAGTGCTGACCAGGTGTTCAATTATCGCACTCCTTATTGCACCAGTATTGCCTTTTCACAACCATGCTGGATAGTGTTCTTGAATCCTCT